AAGTTCTGTTTTTTGCAGGTATGATCCTGCGCATGAATACTAGTCATCATAGTTGTAATGGTTCAGCTTCTTGAGCCTCCAGTTGAATTCGCCAGGTCTACCATCGTGATTGGTGTCTTGTCGATCTCAACACCAAGAAGCTCGGTCCTTGAATGATCGGCTTCACAATGTCTCATTGCTCACTTAGGATGGTCCCTAACTGAACTTGCTCTTGTACCAATTGTAAATTTTTTTGGGTTCTATTATGTGCCGAAATTCTTGTAAAATGACCACACTTACACGTAGAGAAAGAAAGGGAGAGAAATAAAAGATTCCACTTCACACAATGATTATACAATTATTAAAATAATTAAATGCTACAGTGATTTCAATCTCTCATTAATGCATACTACCTTTCTCTCTCTTTATTCACTATTCACTTTCTCTTACACTCTTATCGCTCACATCACCCACTCACTTTTCACTAACTTTCTTGCTCCTTTTCCTCTCTTATACTCTCCTCCTCTCTCTCTCTCTCTCTCTCTCTCTACCACTCACTCCCACACCCACTCGATCTCTCTCAACCTACACTTCATCATACACACCAATGCTTTAAACCTATCCCCTACATATAATCTCATTGCATTGCTATTTGGACCAACCTCCTAAGGTGCTAACTTTACTTGGCGGTGGGATATGTTTCTAGAGAGAGAAGGAAATCTCTAAAGAGAGAAAGAGGCAAAGAGGAGGGGAGGAAAAGTGGGGAGAGCTATGTGTTGCTCTCTCCTTCAATTCTCCCCTTCAATAGTGGCTGTTTGGCTCTCCTTCACAACTGGTCTTCTAATCATGCTGACTCTTTCTTTGTGCTTAGCAATTTGGTGACATTAAGCCCTTTTTTTAAATGTATCAGCTATTTGTCTTATGTCCTTATCGACGCCAATGTGAGCTATTCATTTAGGACCTTTTCTCGTATGTAACAATGATGTGCCTCAAAATGTTTGGTCCTTGCATGGAAGATGGGGTTTTCAGCCAGTCGAATGGTTGATAGGTTGTCACAAAAGAGTGACATTGGTTTTTCAACTGGCTGATGCAAATTTTCCAGTAGAAGTGTCAGCCACGTGAATTCCTATGCAACTATTGCTGCAGATCTATTTTCTGCTTCGGTGGTAAAAAAGGAGACAATGGGTTGTCTCTTACTACACTTTAAGACTTCTGATGATCTTAGGCTGAAAGAATACCCAGTTGTAGATCGGCAAGTTGTTTGGTCACTACCAACGTTGTCATCACAGTATGTAGTCAACTCGTATTTTCCCTTCTTATATAACAAACCATAGTTAGCGGTACCTTTGATGTACCGCAAGATCCTACGAACGACCTCAATATGAGGTTTCCTTGGATTCTGCATGAATCGACTGACTACTCCGATTGCATGTGCAATTTTGGGCCTAGTCAATGTTAGATAGAGCAAGCTGTCGACAATCTTTCTGTACATGGCTCCTTAAGATCCTCTCCTTCATTAGCACTTAGCCTCACGTTTGTCTCTATCGGTGTCGAGATTGGTTTTCAGGCGGCCATACCGTACTTCTGTAATAGGTCTTTAGTGTACTTCTGCTGACACAAGAAGAGACCTTCCTTGACTTTGTCAATTTCAAGTTCCAGAAAATATTTTAGCTCCCCGAGCTCCTTCATTTGAAATCTGACCGACATATTCTTCTTTATGCAGGAGATTTCCTCAGTGTCATCAAGAGCATGGAGTGGTAGAGAGAGAGAGAGAGAGAGAGAGAGAGAGAGAGAGAAAGAGAGAGGAGAGTATAAGAGAGAAAGAGGAGTAAGAATGTTAGTGAACGTGAGTGGGTGACATGAGGTCAGAATGTAAGAGAAAGTGAGTAATAATGAAGAGAGAGAAAGAGAGTGCATTGATGAGGAGAGTTTGAAATCATGGTAGCATTTAGCATTTTTAATAATATTATAATCATTGTGTGAAGTCGAATATTTTATTTCTCTCCATTTCTTTCTCTATGTATAGTGGTGTGGTCATTTTACAGAAATTTTTTGGCACGTAATAGAGCTTAGAGAAATCCTACAATTGGTATCAAAGCAGGTTCGATAATGGGCCATCGGTAATGAGCAGTGAGACGCTGTGAAGTCGATCAGCCAGGGATTGAGCTTCTTGGTGTGGGGCTTGACGTGCGATCACCAATCACAATGACGGACCTAGCGAATGCACTGGAGGGCTTGAGCCGCTAAACCACCACAACTACGACGACCGGCGTTTGTGTGTAGAATCATACTTGCAAGGACAGAACATCTGGGAGGTTGTCTGTGGCAACAAAACCATCACACCCATGAGAGAGAATGCTGAGGCACTGCGGCGTTGGCCCTTTAAGGCTGGGACAACCATGCTTGTGCTAAATATGATAGTTCAAAAGGAATTGTTGGATTACATTCGAGGAGCCACCACTCCGAAGGAAGTCTAGGACGCATTAGCAACACTGTTTGCTGAGACGAATGATGCTTGATTGTAGTTCTTGAAAAACGAGCTCAGATCCATGTCTCAAGGTATGATGTCCATTAGCCAATATTTTCAAAAATAAAATCCCTTTGCCATAAAATCTCCAAACGCGATCTGGAATCTCAGCTCCCCGAAACCAGAATGAGACGTATCAAAGGATTGCTACTGCAAATGACCACGTGGGCAGTTATTGTTTTCTAATCCACCACCAGAACCCCTTGCTCAAATGACATACACCCCATTTCAAATCAATCACCCCCCATCCCCCATCCCCCACCCCTACCCCTTCCTTCTTTCCCTTTGGGATCCAGGCTTACCTTACATCACTTCCCTCATGATGATCCCAAAGTACCCAATCATGTCAACATGTATCTATCTCTATGTGTGTGTTTCTATATATTCATCTACGCACATACACACAACCATCTGTTGAATCTTAGAATGCTCAAATCTAAAGTTCATTTGCTCACCTCGACGTCCATATAATATGACTCGTCCCTCTCTAGTGCAATGCTAATTAACCTTTTGGAAGTTACTCTCCACCAATTCTATTGCTCTCCAAGAACTTGATAACTTACTGAACCCTTCTATCCCTCACGACTCAACCCTTCTCACCCAAGCCTAATTTACCCCAAGTAACTCTTTTCCATGGATTCCTTGAATTACTAGTTCGGCCTAGAGTTCCTAATGCCAATCTTGGGCAAGGCATGTTCTCTTGAAATTCTTGGTACCCCCAATCCCCCATTATCCTTTGCTTTGTGTCTTGCCTTCAAATGCACAAGGTGTTTGCGAACCTCCTCCACCATTCTAGAGAAACTTGTGCTGTGATCTCTCCAAATTCCTCATATCATGAAGGGAGATGGTAGGGAGGTCTTGATGACTTAATGCTAAAGAAGAGGTCTGATCTTTCTACAAGGCCAACACCCACACAAATCTCTTTATCTCTGGATTTGTTCCAAATTTGAGGCTTCCCATCAGATAGAGAAGCCTTTTCTTCATGAGGGGAAAGGGCTACATGTAGAAATCAACTACAAAACACACACAAAAAAAGAGTATTCCGTTATATATCATCCATTTCTTTAATTTGCTCTATTGGGATGGTGACTGACAAGAATGGTTGGGACAAGAAAGCTCCATCTCTTTCATATTTTGGATAACCAGATAACCATAGAAGATTGTGGAAGTGGCTAAGTCCTATAATATGGAGCCTTAATATTTGGAGAACTGCAGAATCCTAGTGAGATTTGATTAACTATAAATTTTGGCCATCTGATATTAGGTTTTCTCACTTTTCTTTGGGTAGTTTAATGATTATATTCAACCCTGGGAAGTCATGCTGTGGCTTGCAAATGCTCTTAGCACATGGCCCCTGCCTTAAATCCCCTGTTATGCTTTTCATGAGATTGATTTGGTTGGTTATGAGAATAAGTGCCGGAGGTATAATATAATCCTATGGTATGTTCTCGTGGTAAAGGATATTGTTATCTTGAAAGACAAGTTCTCTGTAATGATGTTGAGCAAGTTTTAGCAATATATTGTTTCTAAGATTAAATTGGTTATGCATTCCAGATTAATGATATAGTGCAATGGTAGTTTATTGGAATCTCTGCTGGTGTTATATTTTATTGTGGTCTTGTACAACGGTACAATGTACATAGATTTGGCTGTGCAAATTTATAATTGTTTAATCTTACAACTCTTTCTCCCCTTAAAAGAAAAAGGGGGGGAAAAAGAAAAAGAAAAAGAAAAAGCAAAAGAAAAAGAAAAAGAAAAAGAAAAAGAAAAAGAAACAATGCTACAACTCTTTCTTGGCTTTTGTATCTACTTTGGGTAATTATCATCATCATTTTAGCCTTTTCCTACGTAATTGGGGTCGACTACATGAATCCTGGTTCTCCATTCTGCTCTATTGAAGGCCATATCCTCAGTGAGGCTATAAGTCCCCATATCTTTTCGGACTACTTCCATCTACATCCTTTTGGGCCAACCCCTTGTCCTTTCCAATCCTTGCACTTGAACTAACTCGCATCTCCTAACAGATGCTGTACCTGTACTTGGTAAGCGCCACACATGGCCAACCCACCTAAGTCTACTCTCTCTCATTTTATCACCTATTGGTGCCACGCCTAAATTCTTTTGAATAGATTCATTGCGAATTTTATACCTTCTTGTCTTGCAGCTCACCCATCTCAACATCCTCATCTCCGCTACACTCATTTTATGGGTATATTGTTTTTGTCCGCCCAACATTCCGTCCAATAGAGCAAAGCTGGCTCACCGCTGTCTTATAGAACTTGCCTTTTAACCTCATTGGTATGTGGCGATCACATAAAATTCCAGTTGCACATCTCCACTTTGCCCACCCAGCTCACTTTGGGTAACTATGTGAGTAAAAAATCAAAGATTGATGATTGCTATCTCAAATGTGGATTTCAGAAAATTGCTCAAGCAGTACAATACTATCATTTTGTTTTTTTTGCTCTTTGCTTAATTTTGTTGCTTTTTGCAGTTTTTTGAAGGCTATGGCTTCCATGGCACATCATTTGAACAGACTTATCGTTGCTACCCTGCATCTTTTATTGATAAGGTTTGCATTCCATTGCACCCTTTATTTATAAGGTTTGCTAATAAGGTTTGCTAAGAAAAGATGTATATTTTTTCTTCCTCTCCTAGTTCCTTTTATTCAGTCTGTGTCCATGTTCAAATTTGCCTTTGAATCGATTCATATGCAAGTTTTTCATAGCATAATTAGTCTTCCTAGTATTGTTGGCCTTTTTGATGAGTTTTCTTATCATCAATTCTGGATTTTATCTATTCATGAAAGAGGATGTATTTGTTATTAAGTTTTGTCTGTTTTCCTGTTGTATATATCTGTCTTTTGTCATGAAGTGTTTGTATGACCCCAGATCTGGTGAGGAGGTTAATATCCTAATAATGTTCTTATACAAGTGCACTTAACTTCAGAGTTGATGAGATTTTGTAACTGCTTGTCATGTTTCTTAAATCAATTTTGAAATGTCCAATATTAGTGCATAACAGTAGATGGATTTTCTTTTCTTTTTTGATAGATTACTAATAAGTATTTTCAATAACTGGTTTAAACAAATGCAGTTTTAATTTTCTCTTCTTCTGTTGACTCTACAAATGTGTTGGTGACTAGCTATATTTACAGTTGTAGCTGATACAACAACTTTAGTGTTTTGTTTATTGCCTTTTCATTTTACTAACTCTGTATAGTGCCATTTGACCTTGCAGCCACAGTTAGAAAGTGGTGACAAAAGTAAGCTACCCTGAAACCCTGTTTTTGTTTATCCTGTCGGTGGCTTTATTTTCTGTTGGATTACTGAACTGGATTGTCTTCGTTACGTTTTGAAAAATTGCAGTTATCATGCCTCCCTCTGCCCTTGACCGCCTTGGTTAGTGAACCTTTACATCTTTTTGTTGACTTTTTTTCCTTATTGTTAACTGGGGTTTCTGCATCGTCGTGTTGTGTCTATGCCTTTTTGTTACCGGTAGATCCCGGTGAATTATTTTGGTGAAGTATTCAACATATTTGACATATGATATTGTGTTTATCTGCAGCATCTCTGCATATTGACTATCCCATGTTGTTTGAGCTTCGTAATCCTGCTACTGAGCGGGTTTCTCATTGTGGTGTTCTAGAGTTCATTGCTGAAGAAGGCATGATATATGTGCCATATTGGGTAGGTATGAATGTGAATTCTTATTTAAAATTGTATATCTGTTGATCATTGTTCCTGCAAAATATGAAAATTATTGTTGAATATTTTCTTTACCAATTGTTTTGTATTGATTGTTAGATGATGGAAAACATGCTCTTACAAGAGGGGGATGCTGTGAAAGTGAAAAATGCAACCCTTCCAAAGGGCGAATATGTGAAATTGCAACCTCATACAATGGACTTTTTAGATATCTCAAACCCAAAAGCCATGTGAGTGAACTGGAATAGTATGATTTTCTTATTGTATTTTCTTCTGATTACTTAAACTTAACAAGTTTTATGTGACATTTTTTAATTGAAGTTTTCCTTGTCTATTTATCATACTTGTCTTCTATATGCTGTTTGATTGTTATCTGCCTTTTTGTTTCACTAAAGTTGATCAATACAGCAGGCTGCCTATGTTTTGATTATTTATGCATGCATGCATGCGCGTGTGTGTATGCGTGCGGGCCGTGTATAGACTGCAGATGAAGTTTCCAGAATTGGCCTTTGCAGATGACCCTTTTAGGAAATGTTTGATTGGTTATGCTGAACTAGAGTCTGCAAGACCTGCTGGAGCCAAACTTATAGCATACTCATTTTCTGTCCATGTTTAGAGCAATAATCTTGTTTGGCTTCGCATCCTGATTTGGTCAAGGGAAGCAAAATGCTTTGGTTCTTTGGTCCTTCTGGAAATCCTTGGCTCTCATTTTGATGCTTGCTTTATTTATATAAATGTGGTTTTGGCTGCACGAAGGACTTTTTCTTTCAAGTAAATACTGAAAAACAGGTAGAAATTGAAGGGGGTTAGTTTTTTACCCTAGGGTTTTAGCAGCTGCACCCATTACACACCATGTCAACTCCCGATCTGTGACAAGATAGTTGTAAAGTGCATGGATGGGTGCCATTTTCAAAAGAATTTTCTTTTTGAGAAAAACATAGGTAGAAAATTAACCCCCCCAAAATTGTACAGTAGTGTGAAATAAGAAAAATTACATGCAGTTGTAGTTATCAACTACTCACATAACATCTTTGATTTATATTGATCCTTGATGCATATCTACCATAAGCAGAGACCTGTTCAAGGTCCAAGTGTGAGCAGAGATTTGCAGTAAAGGCTGAATTGTAGGGTGTCCTTGAACAAGAAGACCTTGGATCAAGCGGTTGAAGGAGGTGTGTAAGACACCTCCTTCCACATGACTGTTAACTGCTACAGATGCATTAACGCCATCCTCCGAATCAGAGATAGTGAGATAGGAAGTTATTCTCTGTTAGTCTTCAATCACATCTCATATTAGTAATATAACCTTCAAACCATATCTTAGGAGTTGACTAGTAGGTTGGAGCAACCTTTTACTGAAGAGGAAGTCTGGAAGGCGGTCTATGACTTGGGCCAGGACAGAGCACCTGGGCTGGACGGCTTCCCTGCAGCCATGTACACAAATTCTGGGATCATATTAGCCTAGATGTCCTAGTCATGTTTAATGAATTTCATTGGCGAGGCACCATTCACAAATATTTCAATTCGATCTTCATTGTCCTCATTGCAAAAGTGGAGGTTTCTGAAGAACTACAAAGGCTTTCAACCCCCCCCCCACCCACCAAAAAAGGAAAAAAAAAAAATTCAATCTCATCAATGCCTCCTATAAAATCCTAGCTTACTTTTTGTCTTAGCAAAACCTCATGGCCTTTGGTCTCTAGTGGAGATATTGGATTTTTGGTTGTATATCATCTGCTCATTTTCCGGTGCTTGTTTACGGCAGCCCACACCTATACTTCCCCTCTTCACGGGGGCTTCACTGAGGAGAACCCCCCTGTCCCTTTTTTGTTTTGCTATCATAGCAGAAATCTTCAATTTGTCCATCACCAAACTTTTAGGACAGCAGTCTCCTACAGGCTTCCCCTCCGCTTTGGGACCAACCATTTCCAATCTCCTAAATGCAGATGAGACCCTAGTGTTTCTGCGATGCAAGGTTGATCTGGAATTCTCCATAGAACTCAATGAAAAAAAACTAAAATGTTGGGGGATCAGTTTTTCTAATGACTTTACCCTAGACTTGGCAAAGAGACTCAGATTCAGTCTGGAATCCCTCCCCAGCAAATACCTTGTTTTACCCACTCCATGTGGGTAAGTCAAGGAAGGCCCTTTGCTACAGAGTTGTAGAAACGTTTATAAGGAAACTGGCTGCCAAGAAATGCAGTACCCTGATCAAGGTCACCTTGTCCAATATCCGGGTGTTTCGACTGTCCATTTTCAGAATGTCGGCGACTACTGAGCTCAGGCTTGAGCATCAAATTAGGGAGTTTCTGTTGTGTGGGGCTTGAAAAGCCCATTAATTCTTAGCTTTGTTGGATAAATGGTGGTAGAGTTCCCCACAGAGGAGAACTATTTATGGGGTGAATCACTCAGGCTGGCTTCTTAGAACAAACCCACAGCCATTGGGCCTAGGGCACTTGGGGAATGTGTGGCTGGAGCTGGAGCTTCAGCTTCAGCACCCTAGGCGGATTTCACTAGAAATCTGGTTCATCATAAGTGGTGGCATTCTCCCAAAATGCTATCAGTTCAGTTATCCTTCCATCCCAATGCCTGTGGAGACTAGAGCTCATTTTAGATGAGATTTCTCATCTCGACACAGGCATAAACGTTTCATACAGGCACACTTGGGGGAAGGCCAGTTTGGTGGCACCCATGTAGTAGCTTGCAAAAAACTTGTTTGAGCATTGGTAGGTCCTCACATATGATTGTTGACTTGTATCTTTTTAATAATTGTAAGAAACCTTAGCCATATTATGTTCACTAGAGTAGCTTACAATTTACAAGCAATGGAATTAAGACCGGAGTGGACCAGCCTGTTCCGACTGGGAACTAGTGAACCGGTTCCCCAATTGGTCTCGGTTTAGAGGTGTAGTACCAGGAAGTGCACTTAACTGGCATCGAACTTGGGGATATATTTTTTGATGCTTGGACCGACGGATTTGACCTGTCCAAACCGAATTGGCAACTGGCCAGAACTGGTCTAAAGCGGTTTGTTCAGACCAGTTTTGAACAAAATTTAAGTTATTTTTTTGTTTATATTTTTATAGCCTGGTTTGACTAGTGAGTTTACCGGTCGGACCGGACTGTTGCTCTCACTTGTTCGATGACCGGTCTAGTTCTGATAACACTAGTTGCAAGTAGTGTCTTTTGACATCTTCATGGATAACATTCTGCAGGCTGGGTTTTTTTTTTATTGTATTTCCCTTTTTTTATCTCTCATTGTGCACTTGCACTCTATTCATCCCATTAATTAGCGCCAAAAACGGAAAAAAAATAATTTGCACCCTGGTAAAGGTTAAAATGAGTCACTAACCAACAATGGATCAAGACCGTCCATATGGTGGACATATTGAGATCTAGGTGTTTAAGAACTTAAAAATCAATTTTTTGTTTTTTGGAATTGTTCATCTTATGTCTGTAAGGCCATCTAAAAAATTTGGGATAAAGAAGGAAACCCTCTTAGGCCTAGATCTAATCATCCGTTCATTGGGTTAAAAGATTAATTTTTAAAATAATTTTTATGGTGTATTTCTGGATTTTGTATTTTTTAGATTGTTCATCATTGTGAATTGAGTGTGTTCAAAAGTCAGGTTCAAAAAATTGTGTCTAACGTGATTTTTGAAGTTGCATAAAATCGCTCCCCTATATATATAATATTATAAGTTGACATTTTCTTTTGCTGTTTAAAATGAGAAACATAAATCCAAGAGACATTTGATCAATCTTTCTTGTTTCTCGCAGCTTGGAGACAACATTGCGGAACTTCTCCTGTTTGACCACTGGTGACAGCATTATGGTTGCCTATAATAATAAGAAGTATTACATTGACATTGTGGAAACAAAGCCGTCTTCTGCTATTAGTATCATCGAGACAGATTGTGAGGTGGACTTTGCTGCTCCTCTTGATTACAAGGAGCCTGAAAAACCGGTGCCTTCAAGCATCCCTTCATCAAGCAAAGCACCTGCTCAAGGTTTTACCATTTTTCCTTGTCCTTTCCTTTTTATTCCCTTCTATGTCTCATTTAGTTGATCCAGTTGTGTTTGCTATTAATTTGGAAATTCCTTTTTATTAGAAGTTGAATATGGCATTTTATGTTCCTGGCCTTCGTCGTTATTTCTACCCGAAGGATCTTATTATGCTACCTGCAATGTGCTTTATTTGATTAAGTTTGTATGGCTGTCCTGTGCACCCTTTGATTTCCATTTGTTTTCTTCTGGATTTTTGAAAATGATTTTGTCGTCAATTACTTTTTTTTTATATAAAATAGGGAAAAGTTCTGAGTTACTGTTTGTTCTATATGCCTGTCCCTTGGCATTATCCGAAGGTCTAGTACAATGACAATTAATGATTGGGAAAATATCAAAGACCAATACATGGAATCCATCATTGTTATATCAGATTGGTTTAAGCAGTCATGTATTGCGGATAAAATAGAAAATTATTCATGATGCTGGGATTTTGGTGAGATCTTGTGCATGTCTTGTAGTCTTGATCCGTTTGGGGAATGGTTTACTTGTTTTGCCCTTGATATCTGTTTGGAATTATCTTGGTTGCCAGTGTTCTACACTTAACTCCTTCCGAACAGTCTGAAACAGTGTTTTGATACCCTGACAATTCTGTGGGAATCGGCCCGTTTCCCGTTTCCAACCAGGATCCGGTTGGCTTTCACTAATTCCCGATGTGGATCGGAAATTCCTGATCCCGATCAGTGGGTTTTGAATCTCTGCTCTGAAATCAATAATGGACATTTGGGGTGTGTCACTCCTTTGCTTAAAGCCTGCCAACTTTCTTGACAGACTTTTGAATGTAAAAATTACATTCTCGAACTGTCCCGTGATATCTGACATTTAAATAGCTAACGAACTTTAGGAGAACCCAGTTCTGGCATAAAATACTTTGCCAATTTTTTTCTTTGACAAGGAATTGAGCACTATCCAGTGCAATGTTTTTTAAACCAAGTTGTTGCATGTATTTATATATGTTTGTCTGTGTGTATGCGCACATGCACATTGAGTCGTGACATTCACTGTCATGGGGTCATTTCCCCAGTAAAGTATGCATGACTTGGTTGACTTGTTGACATGCTCGGCTTATTGGGGTCTTATCCTTGTAGGGAATATGTTCATGCTTTAATCAGGTTGTAATTGTCTCAAACCTCTCATTTGCTACAACAGATAACAACTTCATTAATGGGTAGCAGTTTGTTTCAAAGTTTTAAAATCATATCTGTTCTAGCCTTTTAGGAGAAAAGCAGTTTGGTGTTCTTACTTGCATGTGGAATAGATAGTCACCACACTCACATGATGCTAAAAACAATTGAGCTCTCTCTCTTTCTACTACAATTCTTCATTGAATTCTTACTAAAAAAGAAACTGAATTACTCCTTTTCTGATATTGGTGCATGTCTCGATTCAATCGCTCAGTTGAGGAAGAACCTGCAACGGAAGAACCCAAGTTCAACCCATTTACCGGTGTTGGACGGCGGTTGGATGGGAAGCCATTAAAGTATTCAGAGGCACCCAATCCTTCCAACAATGCCAAGGAGAAGGCATCCGCAATTACAAGCAGTAAGCAGCAACCAACTGTGCCCACTTCATCTAGTGGTGCATCTCGCCAGCCTTCGGGAAAGCTAGTATTTGGTGCAAATTCAAGTCATGCTCCAAAAGAATCTCCAAAGGTGTGTTGACTTACTTTGTATTCGACTTCTACACGACCTTACCTCACTAACATAATAAGAGTTTGAGAGTTGAGAATATCCGCCTCCGCCCCTCTCTCTCTGCCCCTACAGCTTATCTTGTTTGACCCCAGAAAAACTCCGTCTCCCATGCAACAATTCTCTCTCTCTCTAAGATACGCACACGTGCATACTCTCACACACATACATCTCTACATATGAGTTTTCTTTTGAAACCCAGGAGAAATGGATTAAGGAAAGAGACATTGCATTTTCATTTGCATGGTAGTTCCTATTTTATATGTTGACCTCGATGGGCTTGCATGCTCACTGTTATTGTTCTCGCTAGGTTGCTGCAAAAACTGCTCCGACAGAGCCTCCAAAGAAGGAAGAACCAAAATTCCAAGCATTTTCAGGGAAGAAATACTCATTGAAGGACTGATTATGTAAATGACTGCTTGCATGCTCACTGTTATTGTTCTCGCTAGGTTGCTGCAAAAGCTGCTCCGACAGAGCCTCCAAAGAAGGAAGAACCAAAATTTCAAGCATTTTCAGGGAAGAAATACTCATTGAAGGACTGATTATGTAAATGACTCTTTGCACAGACTCTGATATCTGGTAATCTCAAAGGTAGTGGATGGTAACTTGATGTACATTGTTATGTCACATTTTTAGGGCCTGTTTGGGTACACGGCTTTTAAAGCATGGATTCCTAATATCTTGGATATTGCCAATGTCCACTATTTGGATTGCTTAATGACTAGGATATACTTACAATCAGAAAAATCAAAATCATGAAATAAGACCTATTTTCCATGATTTCATTTCTGCCTCAAAACATGTTTTTTTGGCATTTCCAAGGCCCATAGAGTTCACTCATTGGCTCCCTCGAAACATAGGGAGCATTTGGTAGGTATGAAATTTTAGAGAGAGTACTTAAATTTTTAAAGAGAGAAACTATCTTAAAATTTTTCGAGTGAGAAACTATCTCAAATTTTAACTTTTAGAGAAAGTATGTTAAAATTTTAAAGAGAGTACCAATTTTTTTAGAGAGATGAACTATCTCAATATTTTAGAGAGAAATTATTTCAAATTTTAACTTTAAAGAGAGAGTTGGTTAAAAATTTAGAGAGAGAAAGTATGTTAAAATTTTAGAGAGTACCAAAAAAGTATAGAGAGAAACTATTTCAAAATTTTTGAAGAGAAATAATTTCATATTTTTATTTTTAGAGAGATTATATCAAATTTTAGAGAGTACTTAAAAAGTTTTAGAGATAAAAATTATCTCAAAAATATTTAGAGAGAGAAAATATATCAAATCTTAAGTTTTAGAGAGTATTTTTAAAATTGTAGAGAGTATTTTTAAACTTTTAGAGAGAAACTATTATAAATTTTAAAAAGAGAATTTGCCCAAATTTTTTTTTAGAGAAATATATTGTTTTTTTGATAAAGAAACTATCTCGAATTTTGAATTTTAGCGGGAAACTATCTTGAATGTTAGAGAGAGAAAACATATTAAAATTTTAGAGAGAGAAATTATATCAATATTTAGAGAGAGAAACTATTTAAAAAATTTTAGAGATAGAAATTATTTCAAAATTTTTGAAGAGAAACTATCGCAAAATTTATGTTTTAAAGAGTGAAAGTATATTAAAATTTTAAAGAGAAACTATATCAAATTTTATATAGAGAAAGTACATGAAATTTTTAGAGAGAAACTATTTCAAAACAATTTAGAGAGAGAAACTATCTTAAAATTTATGTTTTAGAGAGAAAAAGTATTTTAAAATTTAAACTTTAGAGAGAAAGTATATCAAATTTTAGAGAGACACTATATCAAATTTTAAAGAAAACTATTTCAAAATTTTAGAGAGAGAAACTATTTCAACTTTAAGTTTTAGAGAGAGAAAGGATTTTAAAATTTAAGAGAGCAATTGTATCAAATTTTAGAAAGAGAAAGTACATAAAATTTGAAAAAGAAACTCTCGAAAAAATTTTAGGGAGAAATTATCTCAAATTTTAACTTTTAAAAAGAGAAAGTACCTTAAAATTGGAGAGAAAAACTATATCATATTTCAAAGAGAGAAACCACTTTAAAATATTTAGAGAGTGAAACTATCTCAAAATTATTGAAAAGGGGAGCTATATCAAATTTTAAATTTGAGAGTGTATCTTAAAAGTTTAGAAAGAGACTATATCAAATTTTAGACAGTAGCCTCTAAAATTTTAGAGAGAGAAATTATCTCAAACTTTTTAGATAGATAATTTTAAATTTTGGATAGAAAGTATATTAAATTTTAGAGACAGATATTATATCAAATTTTAGAGAGAAACTATCTTAAAAATTTTATAGATACACTATCCCAAATTTTGAGTTTTAGAAAGAGAAAGTATATAAAAATTTTAGAGAGAGAAATTGTATTAAGTTTTGTTACCAAACAATGGACATAGAAGTTATTGCAAGGAACCCATGAGTTTTGTATAGTTTGAAAAAAGGCTAATGTGATCTTGTCGGGGAATATATATTTTTATTTTTTTTATTTTTTCTCAAATTTTTTTTCTTTTTATTTTTGACAAAGATCACAACAAATAGTCTTACCAATAATTCTTGCTTCACATAAAATAAAACTAACAAATCCAACAATCTTAAAAACCTTGATGCCATTTCTTATGTATGAGAATATAAAGATTAAATTATAAGAAATAAAATGGAGAGTGCCGGAGATTACCTCAACCGGGCTTGTTGCATACCACATCGAGTCACCACCATCCGATGACACATGATCGACGATCTAGCTTCAATCTCACCAAAAAAACAAGTTTAGGCCAAACTAATTATGTAGAACCATTTTAGAATTTATCAGACCTTGATCTTTCCCATACTATCCAACCTTTAGGCTATTCAAGATGAGAGAGAGACTTAAGAGGTGACCCAGGGTTGGGGGTGTCTCTCTAGAGAGGCTAGGAGAGAGAGAGGTCTAGAGAGAGAGATGCTTTAGAGGAAGGAAAGAGAGTGGAGCGTGTCCCTTAGAGAGAGACGAGAGAGAGAGAAGAGAGATATGCAGAGAATAGGGGGGGTGCACCCCTATTTATGGGGCAAAATTGGGTTTAGGGTTTCCCATAATTTGCGTCTTAATTGAGATTGAATGTGAACCGTCGATCAATGATGACTTGTGGGGTGAGGGATCTGAGTCATCTATTCCATAGATGAGCCATTAACATTAAAAAAGTGCATGAACCATTATCCAGCTTTTCTAAACCATTTTCCCATCAATAGAAATTAAATAAAATTAAATCCAATCAAAATATTATGCGTACCATAAAATGACATAATTTTTCTCATTACTTTTACAAAATCTTTCAAAGATATTTCAAGTTAATATTTACTTCAATATTTAGTCGATATATGATCAATATATTTCCAAGTCACATTTGACCACATGTCACAATTGACTGTTTACCATAACATAAGGTCACATGGACCACAAATCAAAATCTTTGCATAAAATAGAAAGTGGTAAGAGGTGGGGCGTGCCACTTCAAGGAAGGCATGCATAGGCCCCACCTTCTAGAACATGGCGGGTCCATGTACACAATAGGCCCCCATGAAATTTTATTTTATATAAAATAATTTTAAAATATTTATTTAAATATTTAAACCATTTTAAATTCACTATCTTTAATTGTGTAAATCCAAATTTCATAAATAAAATATCCAGACGTTCATAAAAATTCAAATAATAATTTATATCATAAAACAAACATAATTCAATTAATTTGATGGGAAATGGATCCATATGGCTTAGGAATTAAATCAACAATCATGAAGCACTCTACTTTCAATTGTGGACTACAGACCACACTTGATTTATCGAACCGACCTAGTGTTTTTCATGACCCACAGTCCAAGCAAGGGCTTATTAGCAGGTCACCAAAGTTTGGCTGATAAACCAACGTGTCACAATCTCAGTCTGTGGATTTTAGGTACTCCTCCGAGAATACTCCGACTTCATCAAGGGTGACTCATTAGAATCTTTATCGGTTGACGCTCAGGTAACATGGGTTTTTTCCAACCGACTGACCTAGACCGTCAAGTACAGTTTTGTATCTGTAAACATCATTTGCTTAGTATGGTCCACGAGGGGCTACACTCCCACTGAGTTCATGTTCCACTATATCATTTCATTTGACAAGCACTTATAAGGCTTTTAAAAGGCCACATAACCTAACATAGTTTATCCAAACAAGAAATTTGAGGAATCCATGATAAAAATCCTTGATATTGAAAATCTATAGATTTCTTTGGATTTCAAATATCTAAGATTCCTAATTTCTTCCTATCCAAACGGCCCTCAGTATATGCAGCTTTTGTTCATGGAGTTGGTAGAATTGTTAAAAATGATTTGTTTCCAAATGACTCTTTTCCTTTTAGTAGGCTCACCTGAAATTACTATGCTACTGTGTGTATTTGTTTTTGTGTTTATTCATATGATACTAGTAAGATTGCGTGTTATGTGAGTTAATTGAAATATACCTTTGCATATTTATATGTTCATGTAGCAACTGAGAACTTTTGGATGCCACTGCATCTTAACCGTTCGACAAGAACCCTAAAACTATGCTTATCACTTGACCAGAACTAATATATTTTATGATTCTTGTTGGGCGAAGGAGTTGCAGCTGGCTATAAAAGTTTCGTATCAAATGTGCAGAAATACATTGAAATTTTGGAGTCGCTTATCTATAAAGTTGTACATGATTCAGCATGGGAGCCGCAGAAGAGAGAGAGAGAATCCTTTATTTCTCCCCAGGGGAAAGTTCCTAGTTTCTCCATAGAGAGAAAGAGGATGAGTGATGGCTGAGTTTTCCTTTTTTTTTGGGCAAAAGTGCTAGTTCTTTCCTATTTTTTCTTATTTAATAGTTTTGGTTAGTTTCTTTGAATTTTTTATAGAAAAAAAAGTTCATTGATGGTTGCAACATTATACTATTGAAGTAAGGTGCACCTTGAAGATACTACAAAAGAGTGTTCTGGCATTGGAGAACCCTCCAATCAATCATCTCAACCTCGAGATACATGGATATGAAGAAAAAAAAGAATTTCAAGTCCATAAAATAGTGCATCTAGTAACAAGTTATCTGGACCGTCTATTTTCAAGATTTTCAGGTGTTTATTGATTTTCTTTCCTAGTTTTAAAAGGAAAATGTTTTTGATAGGGCTGTAGTTCTTAGCAACTCCAAACACAGTTTTGGCATTGGGAAATCTTCAAATCAATTATCTTAGCCTTGACTATTATGGTTGTGAAAAAAAAGAAAGAAAAAAGTTCGGATTTCAAACCTAAAAAGTACCCTTATTGTAACACATTATCTAAACTATCCATTTTGTCATAAAAATAAGTGTTTATAGATATGTAATATATCTTCCATTGTTTGAGCTTCAAATTTCATAGTAGGTGTTAGAAATGATTTTAGAGTCATCATGGAGATTTCTGATGCCCAAATAATTGAGGTGAGGCTTTACTTTTTTTTGTTTTTTGTTTTATAAAGTGTAGGCCTAATAAACTACATCTTTTTTAAATTTTAAATTTTATAATTATTAAAAAATAGATTTTCAAATCATTGTAAGGTTTCAGATACCAAAAGGAGATCTCTAAGCAAATTTTAGAGGTGTGTATTACTTGTATAGGTAGGGGTGGCACTGGACCCCGCTACCCGACCTAAGGACAAGACCCGATACAGGTCCAAAAATTGGACTTGGCA